GATACATTCTTCCCTTCTTCCCTCCGTGCATCTAGAAAGCCGACAGTGGCTCCCTGGGGGGGCACTATTGGAGAGTGGAGAGTCCCCAAGGCAGGGTAGGACGTAAAAAATAACCCAGAATATTTACGTAAATGATTGGGTAAATAAATTAAAGTGTATAGAGGAGGGAGAGATCAGGACAGTTTTAGGCTCCAGGGTATTGCAACCGGCTTCCCAAGGGTTAATCCCTTCCAGACCCCCGGGAACCCCCTAGTGACGTCAAGGGCGGGGTCTGTGCCGGCGGCCCAGGATGACAGAGAGATTGGGGGGGGGTCCTCTGGACCCCGCCCCCTAGGGAAAACCACCCTAATTCCTGCCTTTACTCGCTCAGGAAATTGCCCAACCTACTCCTCTACCGGGGTGTAAATTCTTCTCCTATGAAGACCCCAGTTCTCCAGCCCCCTTAAACTCTCAGAACCCAGTATCTAAGGGGTCCCCCTCCGCTAATCCTGTCCCCAAAGCTAGTTGCCTAGAGCAGATTGTTTCGGGGTCATGAGGCCTGAAAGAGGCTTCAGAGGCGGGGAGCAAGGGCAGACAGGGTGGTCTGAGCCAGAGGAGGGGCCTCGGTCCTCAGCTCCCGTTTGAGAGAGGGGAGGGCAAGGGATGCGCAGGCTGGCAGTGGCCCGTGGTCCAGCCCAGTCCCAGTAGGGGTCTCCCTGTGGCTGGCCCTAGCTGCCCTGGTGGTCTTGAGTTCATTAGGTCAAGACAAGGTCTCAACATCTCTTTCTTAGCGGTCTGCCCACAGTTCTTGGGACTCAGGGGTCGCTAATACACGGGGAGTTTTTATAGGGCCTAAATTTGATCCTTTTCAGTCCTCTGCCTAGGCTAGAAAATTCTCTTCTCTTTCTTCCCCACACACATATACCCCCACGAGCACATCTGTCACAACACCGGTTCAGGGGTCCAAGCCTAGTCGCTCTCCAGTGCCCATCCCCAACAAACATCCCCATCCTGCCTTGGGCTTCCTCCTCCTCGGTCCCCTCCTTTTAGAAACACTGACGTTTTCCTGCCTGGCTCTCAGACACACCTGGAGTTCCCTTTCTACCGCACAGAACTCCAGCTAGCCATCCCTCTAGCCGCTTTATCTCAACTCCAGAAAGTAAGAAGTTTCTAATGTATGGGAGAGGTGGAGGCAGACAAAGAGACGCACCGCCGCCTTGAGACAGTCATACACAGACTATCAGACTCAGAAGATTAAAAAGGAGGGGAGAGATACGGCAAAAGATAGGGAGACAGCAAATGAAAACAATTCTCCTAACTTTCTAATTTCTCACCCCAGGTTTTGCCACCCCCATTTTGCCCCAGTGTCTAGGTCTCCCTCTGGGATGGCTAAGTCCCCAGGAAGCACAGCATCCCCTAAGGACCCTTCCCCCACCGCTCCCAGGTGGTCCCCCGCCCGCCCCCCTTCTCACCTCTGTCTGGGCGCTGGGCTGGGGATGCGCGGTCCAGGGTTGGAGTGCAGGCTGGGGGTGTACAGTGGGGAGGGGGGGGCGGACAGGGCCACGGCGGCGCAGCCTCAGTGCCACCCCACCCCCCCCAACCTGGCCCACAGCCCTCCAGCCGGCCCAGCCCGCCGGGCCGCGAGCCGGGACCACCCGCGAGAAGCGCAAACTTTTTTTTCCTTTTGCAAAAACTTTTTCTCGCTCTAGCCGCTGGCGCGCCGCCGCTCTTCCCGCTCTCCCTACACCTCTCTCTTGTTTCCCTCCCTCTTGCTGTTCCTGAGGATGAGGCGAGGTGGCTAGAAGGGAGAGAGGGGGTGCCAGGCTTATTGCACCCCCAGGACCCCCAGGATCCTCCCCCTCCCTTGAGGGACCCTATACTGCCTACCCCCCCCTCGGTGAACACGCTGCTGCTGGTAGGCAGCAAATCCCGGCCTGGATTAATGGATCGGCAATCCACGAAGACGCCCTTAAACCCCAAGTAGAAAAACAGACTGAGAAAAACATGGAAGGAAGGTGAGTAAGACAACGAAAAACTTCATTTTAGAAAATATTGCAGGTAGCATTGATTGGTGCTAACTCAGTATTCTGCTTCCCTGGGTTTATCTGCCAAGCTCATCCTTTGGATGAAATTTGGAGAAATTGGGGCAGAGTAGGATTTGGAAGTTGAGAACAAGTTGAGACACCCTGTATGGATGGAAGTTGAGTGTATGGAGCATAAAAAAGAAGCAGCAGTTGAAGTACTGGACGCAGTTTGTGTGTTTATGGGTCACGGAAAAGGCCCTGAGCCTGAAGCACTGTTCCCCGAGAAGCACTGTTCCCGGAGAAACCCAGCTTTACTTCATCAACAAGTTCCGAAGACTGTGACCACCTCCGCACCTCTCCGCGGCCTGCTCTTTCTGCTCTTTAGGGCTTTTTGCTCCCTCTGCTGGCAAATTAGGCACATGACATCTTTTACAACCTATTTGGAGGTGGAGGGGCCTGAAGAGGCTGAAGGAGTAGAGTCTTCATTTATGAACCTGCTAAAATCCAGTTAGGAGTTCAGGGCTGGGGATGTGTGAGTCCAGCGAAACGGAGGGGGTGCACTAGAAGCGGCAGGTTGTACTGATCGGTAGTGCCGAACAGATATGGGAGTGCTTAGTGCCATTGGATTGTATCACCTAGGTCAGAAGGTACAGGGGAAGGAGCATCTGTAACTTTCATACAAAGCAGTGGGGGACGGTAGAAGCAGAGGTACAGTCCTTTCCCACTTCTGTCACTCCTCAGACTGACTTCTACGTAATACCTCTACCTCCTAAGGACATTTTGGGCCTGAAAAGTCAGTGAGTTAACTGTTCATTCCGGGTGTCATGAGGGGGGAAAAAACCCAACAGGTAAGGAGTCTTATTTGAGCTTCCCCTCCTCAACACTTGTTACGTGACATTGGCCCAGGCCCAGGTTAACGGAACACATTTCAGTCAGGACTGACCAATGGTCACTAGAACAAACAGAAAGAACCCTACAGGTGCTGAATCCAGCCACAAGCCCCTTCCCGAAAGAAACACTCTTTAAGAATATGCTCTGATGACAAACTTTCTGGTCTCAAGACAACTTTACACTTGAAAAAAAATATTGGTAACAAACAGAAAAAAACTGCAGAGATCTTTCATTTTTTAAAAATGAGATTTTTGCTTATGTGGTTCATAGCTATCAATTTACCATATTAGAAATAAAAATGGAAAAAATTTAAACACAAGAAGATACAAGCACATATTCCACTAATAAAGATGTCAGAAAGATGATGTAATGGCATGTCATGCAGTTCTGGGAAACGCCACTGTACTCTTTTAAGGTAATACACCTTTAAAAAGGCAAACAACATCTTTGTATTATTACGAAAAAAGTTTTGACTTGTGGACACCGCTGAAGGGATCTCAGAGGCTCTTCTAGGAGTCTTCAGCCCATCCTTCAAAAATTGTTGTTCTCAACTATTACCTCAGCCCATTTCATTAAACACACTTGTGGATTTTTGTTTTCTTATTTTTATTAAGAAAGTATAAATGTTTGTCTCCCTAGTCGGTCTTGCACCCCAGGGAAAACCAGATAAACTGCTCTGGGGCTCAGCACCCCTCTCTCTCAACTCATCCTTCAGCCCTTTGCCAATCTTACTCTTACCTCCCCTTAGATCTCTTCCACAGTCCCTACCCTTGGCCAGCCCCTTTCCTCTGCCCCAAGTCTGCTGGACCCTTTGCTCCCTCTTTTCCTTGCCTGAGGACTTTCTCTTGCTGGCAGAGAAGAAGGAATTTTTCACTCTTTCTTCTCCCTTGCTTGTCCCTATAATCATCTCATTGAGCTAAGACTAGGAAATCATTCTTTCTGGGTAGACCTCTTTGGAAGAAATCCTTTACCCACCTCCCTACACTTCAACCAGCCTGGTATTAGGCCAGGAGTCTGGACAAATTATTGTCCATTTGGGTCACATAAAGGTCAGTCCAGTCATACTACTAGATAGTCTATAGTCTATTGATCAGGAATCTGATGCCTTTGCCCGGGAACCCTTGACTTGATTTTTTCACTCCAAACTCAAAAGTGTTCTTGCTAGCTGCAGCCACAGGCCTCCACCACCATATCGGGCACATCTGTCTTGACTACATTGCCATTACGATCAAGGTAGAGTAGGGACAAGGGCCTTCGGGTAGTGGGAACACAACATGAAGTACCGGAGGGCCAGGGGTTATTGGCCTTGAGGAGGCTGAAGACAGCAGAATGGAAGGAGGCAGCAATACCAGGACTGCCAGCCAGGTGTGGAGGGCACTGCCCACTGCAGTAATTCAGCTGGTAGCCCTCAGGCTGTAGGATCCAGTCCTGCCATCCCAGCTCTTGGAAGTCTACATAATGATCTCGTCTACAACACAAAGGGGTCTCAGGTTCACAAGTGGGCGTCCTTCTCCTGGCCCGGCCCACTCGACGCTCTTTGGCCCTGATCTTAAGTTCCAAGAAGGGCCGCTTGTCGCCCACTGTATTTAGGATTCGTGACCATGATTGAGCAGCGGTGTTATTGCCCTCTAGGGATCCGCAGTCCAGCCGGAGTTTCAGGACACCTGACGCCTCACCTCTCAAGCCACTAGAGGGCAGAGTCAGGGCGTGCCAGCCCGGGGTATTCATTTGGTGCTCAGCCAGGACCGTGCGGGACCCTTGGCGTCTCCTCCTTGGGATCCACCGAATGATCCTCAAGTTAAGAATGTCCGGAAAGGTGGGGAGCACATGTAGCCAGAGGCGGGCGTGGTACAGGTGGCGGGCCCGCGGAGTGGACAGGTGGAAGGTGAGCATGGAACTGCAGCTTGAAGGGGAAGAATCTGCCAGAAAGGGAGAGAGAACTGTGAGCAGAGATGAAGTTCTCTGAGATGACTCGCTCAATCCTTGCTCACCTTCAGAAGAAATAGGGACGGCCTGCAGCCTCCAGCCTCCAATCCAATCTCAGCCCAATCCCTTCTCCTCCTCTGCCAGGCTCCCTGTTTGCCTTTCTTTTCCTGTCTGCGTTCTGTCTCTCCCTCACCTACCTGTGATGGTAGCAAAGCTGATGACTTCTTCCCCATTCACTGGACTCACACTCCCCGGCTGTAGTCTCCGAAGTGCTCTGGTCAGTGCTGCCTGGGGTATCGCATGGGTTATTCTGGGAGGGCTGGTCAGATGCAGCCCCTCTAAGATTTGCTGCTTGGCCAGCTCCAGAACCACAGCTCGTTCTGCTTGTGGTGCCAATGTGGGGATCCCACATGAGGAACACACAGACTCTGCTCCCTGTGTGCACATCAGTGCCCAGAGCAGCAGCACCAACTGGAATGGGACATCCATATCCCTGGTGGATGGCTCTGGATCAAGAGCTTGACAGCTCAGATGACAGTTGTTCCTTCTGTTGAGTCTTATTGCATGAGAACCAATGAGGGCACAGCAGCAGAGACACCAGTGCCACACCTACTCTTGACTAAGAGTAGAACAACCTGTCTTCTTCTGCCTGGAACTCAGGAAGGCAGAAGGTGGACCGTCCAATGGGCAGCTGTGTTTAGCTTTGTCTGTCAGTTTGACCCTCACAGCTTATGCCTGACTTCTGATCTGGGGCCTCTTTAGAGCGGTGTCTGGGGCCCATTGATTGGACAGCTGTGCTACCCATCACCCCCCTGCAGAGGGGTGGAGGTCCCACCTTGGAGCTCCAGTTTCACTATCTGGCCATGGTGACTGGGTTTGAAGTAGGGGTATGGGGGTGGGAAGTGGTAACGTGGACATGCATGATGCAAGAGAGGATGATTTCACATCCTCAGTCCCCAAGGTCTGGGACGGGGGAGGGGATTCCGTACAAGCCAGGTGGGGAAGGGCCATATCCGCATACCCCAAGTCTTTCTAGCTCACCCAGCCACCATTGCCACAGTACATCCCATGAGGCAGTTCTGAGTCCCAGGGGGGAATTCCTCTAGGGATTCTAGGCCAGAAGGAGAACTCTGGATCCTATATTTCCAGCAATGGTCTTCTACATGGGTGGGAGTTAAGGGGGGACGGAGTCCTCCAGGCCAAGCAGAGGTGGCAGTACAACAGGGCACAAAAGTCATTCCCTGACCTTGCCTATGCTGGCAGCCCAGAGTCCAATTGGACTGAAGCATAATGTGGAGGAAGGCCAGTATGTGGGGTGGGGGAAGTGGTGATGTGTAGGGAAACCCAGAGGTAGAAGGTGGCAGTGATGCAACCTCACAGTGGGACAGAGTCCATCAAGACTGGCAGAAGGGCATGGGACTTGGGAAGGCTTAAGCCAGCTGTTGGTTGTCTTCTAGACAACTGTGAGAGTTCTGTAAATCTGGGACATCCTAGAAGTGGTGTAGTCTTAGCCAATTCTCTCTTTAGTGAGAAATGGGGGAGTGAAGGATTTCTGAGAGCAAAGCAAGGAGAGTGCAGTTCCAATCCCTATACTCTTTACCTCCTCTCCTTACAGACTTTAATACAAGGACCAAGGCCTTCCTACTTTTGAACTTCTTGAGGTTTGTCTTCATGCTAGCTTTTTTTCTTTATGCTCTAGATTTTCCAAGAATCTGGGGAAAGAAAACTGTGGAGGAAGTGAGTGTGGTTTGGAAATGTGCCTCTACTTTTTTATCTATCTCCTCTACCCCCACTCCTATTTAGTTGGAGATTATCAAGAGAGATGGCTAGACAGTTTGAGAAAAGGCACTAGAAGGCCGTTTGGCTGCAATTAGGGGACCCCAATACCACTAGTGTCCACCATGTGGCAATGCTGTGCCACTGGACAGCAGCAGGCCAACAGCTGACCTGGAGCTTCCATGGAAAGGGCTGCTCTAAAGAATGGGGAGCAAGGGGTATTCATTAGCCTCTTAAAGGAGGCCTGCTTCCCCACTAGGAGAGAAGGGGAGCTGGTTCCTCTGTCCCTGTCCCGTCCCTTACTCTCGCCCCACCTTCCTATTCCCATTCCACCAGGAAGACACTGCCTCCAGCATCCAAATCACTGCTACCTTTGGTTTTGGACCTCATCGTACTGACACGTGGCAACGGAACCTGATGATAGGTGCCAGGCTCTTCCTAGAAAATGCAAGAATGTGAAGAAAGGACCATGAGGCTCTTATACCTTCCTACCCACCCTGCATTTCTCTCCCAACCCGGGAAGCACGTTCAAGCTCCCCTGCACAGTGCTTGCCCCAAATTCCAGTATCCTATCTGTTATGCAGGGCTGGTGAATGACAGCCTTTTTCTCTCTCTAAAAAAACAGGCTGCAAAGTGGAGGTTTGCACGCTTGCATAGTTGTGCCTGAGAGACTTACCTGTTCGTGCTAAGAGATACGAGAGAGGAAGCAACAAGAATTGACTGAAGGAGTCACTGACCCCACCTTTCTCCCGCCCTCACTTTGTTGGGTGCCCCCAATTTCCAGCTCTTCCCACCCCCTTGCTGCTGTGCCTGGCCTGGCCCTACCTCCCCACTGACACTTACGTCAGAACTCGGCTATAAATATGCTCTTAGCATCTTAGTCACTTTTCCCAAGAAGTGCTCCCGAGGTTATAAATACCCCAGCCATCTGCCTAACGGCCTGCCCTACCACCAACCTGGTTGGGGACTAGGGTTAGTGACAGGCTTGGGGGTGGATAAGGAAGCAGAAGAAGCTGAAGTGGCTATCTTGTCCCGATGAGAAAAGCTTGATGGAGTCTAGTATTGGGGTCCTAGGGCTCTGAAGGAAAAGCCTGGGAGAAAGATAAGCCTGTTCTTTCCTCATTTCACAAAAGGCAGAGCCAAAATGGAATGACATTAATCTTGTTATTTACAAATCTGTTATTTTGCTTATTATGAGTTTTTCATAATATTTTTTAAAAGTTTGAGTTAAAATATCATCTTGATTGTTGAACTTTGTATCTCCGTAAACATTTTTCCCCCAAAGTGAGCCCCCAGTTATCTCTCTGAGGACTGAAGTTGGAGTTGGAGGAAAGAGGTTAGATTTTTGAAGACCTGGTGTGGAGGAGCAGGGAACACCAGACAGTAGGTGAAGATAGAAAGGTCCTAAAAGACAGAGAGTATATTAGACAAAAAACTTAGATGTACAGCTCCCACCCCAAGGAGGCTCCCTTTCGGACTTTCTCCTGTAGAGTTTCTATTCTGGGGACCCCTTACCCCAGTAAGAGGGAGTTATGAGTTAAACAAATATAGACAGCACGTTCTCAAAAGGTCACATGGGTTTTGCGCAAACTCGGCCTTGGCTGCAGACAATATCGACCCCATGGTTCAGGGCTGTCCAACCTAAGGGAAGAGGTGATGGAAGAAGAGCAAAGGTGAAAGAGGACCCAGCCTCAGGGCAAATGCCTCTCTCGCCTCAATCCAGCCCTTCCTCTCCTCTCTTTCCCAATCCAGTGTCCCTGGGTCAGTTCCAGCATCCAGGCAGGACTCCTGGATGGAACTTAGGTGGTCAATGAGGAGAGGTGAGTCAGAGGTCCTGGCCGCCAGCTCCTGGAGCTAGGCTCTGCCTCCTACCACGTGCATGCCCACAGGTTGTTGGCCTGGCTTCTTGACTGATCTTTGGGAAAAGCAGAGACTGAAGAGAGGTATAGGTAAAACAGAGTCTGTATTAGCTATGAGACCAGTGACAGTAAACCTGGGAGAGTGGAGGGGGATTAAGGAAGAAAAGGAGAGAGTGTGGGGGAGGGTGAGACATGCAGCATGAGATGGAAAGATTTAATAGCTCAGCCCTGAGGAATCAGTGTGAAGAGAGGGAAGTGTTCAAGGCAGGCAGACTCCATATTATCTGGGCATCAGTCAGGGTCCTCAAGAGACAGGGGACACACTCAGTTGCCTATATTTGCTTTATTAAGAGGGCTTAGTGAAGAAATTATTTACAGAGGGGTTATGAGAACCAACAAGGATGTTGAAACACATCGAGATGAACAAGAGTGAAAAGCCATTATGACCCCTACCTTTGAAGTAGTGATAAGAGAACTTAGGCAGAGCTAGAGTCATGGAAAGATTTAGCCAAACAGGAACTGAAGGGACACAGCCACAGTCACATAGAACTACCATATTTAAGTAGAGAGGGGCCAGGAGTGAGAAATATCCAGATCTTTGTACTGTCTTATTCTTTCATCTTTGTCTGCCTTCCCTAAGTCAAACACTATAGCTTGGATTGGTCAGCTCCCAAGGGCCTAGAGCAGAACTGGGAAGGGTGAATAATAGCTAGGGATGTACAAAGAAGCATTAGCAGTCCACCTGGGCAGGCCAGAGGAAATGGATTCAAGACACAGTATTAAGGAGGAGTGCAGGCAAAACTCACTTTCTGGAGATCTAGAAAATCAGTGGAAAGGGCTGGGTCGATTTATCCTAGAGTAGGAGTGGGGGCATTGAGTGCAAAAGGCAGGAGGCAGTGGGCTATTGAATAAATTAGTGGTGAACTAAGGCTGGTAGAATTGAGTATGTGGGCTCGTTGCATGGACTAGTACCAGAAGAAAGGCTGTAGTTATGGAATTAGTTAAGGGACTCTCCTTAGATGAGTTCTCAAATCAAAGGTGGGATCATTTCCATGGGTTTCTTGGGGGAAAAAGAATTTCTGGCCCGAGGCAGTAATGGAGTTAGTTGCATCTTCACCTCAAGGACAGGTACCTCTGTAAATGCATATTTTCCTGCCCCCACCTGGGCTATGTGCACTGTGCAGACTAACTGCATCCACAGGCCTCTACCACCATGTCAGGTATGTCAGTCTTGACAATGTTACTGTCTCTGTCATAGTAGAGCAGAGATAGGGGCCTCCGGGCAGTGGGCACACAGCATGAGCCACCTCCAGCAGTGCCTGCTGTATTGGTCTTGAGCAGATTGAACACTGATGTGTGAAAGGAGGCAGCAATGCCAGACATGCCTGCCACATGCAATGGGCACTGCCCTGTGCAGAAGTTCATTGCGTAGCCCTCAGGCTGGATGATCCAGTTGTGCCAGCCAATCTCACGGAAATCCACGAAGAACTCTTGTCGACAACACATCCTGGACCCATCCTGACAATCAATACCTCGCCGGCGAACAAGATGTTTCCCTCCAACTCTAACTTGGGCTGCCACAAAAGGTCTGTGGGTAGCCTCATCCAGGATGACTGAGCCCTGTGCTTGGTCATCAAGGACCAACTCCAGGGTCAGGTGCCCTTGGCTGCAGGCAGCCAGAGCTTCGGGGCCCAGGAAGAGCTGGTACCAGCCACTGGCATCTGCCTCCAGCAGGTGCCTGGGGACCAAGGTAAGATTGGTATTGTGTGAGCCTGGCACAAGGACCTTCACTGTCAAAGTTCCAGTAGCATTGGGAAGGAACTGCACAAAGAAGGTGAAACTGGCCTTCTGGACCTCCAAGACCCCAGCAGTTTTATCAGATGAGAAGTGGAAATCAAGACGCGTCTGGTTGATGGTGGAAAAACCTGTGGACAGAAGAAGCCTCAGTTATTCCGAGTATTGGGTCTCCCAGCTGTCTCTCTGACTTCCTTACACTTGAACTCTCTCTGACACTTAGCATTCCTGATGACTTTTTCCCTTGAAAATCTTTCTGCCTTGGCTTCCATGTTTCAGTTATCTTATGATTCAGCTTCCTTGCTGGTTTTTCTTTATCTGACTATTCCTTTAGTATAAGAGTTCTTAAAAAATCTGTCTTTAACATTTATTTTTATATACTATATACAAAAGTTAGCTCCTACTTATGCACCTGGGCAGCCAACACAATCTTTTTTCATTCTGAAATCTATATATCTAGTCCAGACTATTTTTCACATCTGGACAGGACATACAGATTTTGGAATTATCAAGCATTTGGCACACATCTCTAACTACTTAGTTTTGTGACATGGATGTCCTTCTCAAGAAACTTGTCTTTTTGTTATTTGAACTGGCAGTAGCACTACCTTCCTTATTATCTTTAGAAAGTCCATGATCTTCCTTCATTCTCCACCCAGTCCTTTACTATTTCTTGTCGTTGCATGCTGTTGAGTCTGAACCGACTGGTAGCAGACCCTCCAGCAGATTTACAGAGGCAGTAAATTGCATGTTGTTGTTATTTGCCATTGAGTTGCTCGTGGCTCATAGTGACACGATGTACAATAATTGAATGCTGCCCTATCCTGAGCCAATCTCACTGCCTCCAACACACCTACCCTTAGACTCCAGTTACATGGGAGGAGATTAACTGTCCTTCTCCCTTGGAGCAGCTGGTGGATATGAACCAAACCTCATGCCTTTGGGACTGCTGTGTGACTTCTTGCCACTAGGCCACAAGACCTCCCTGTCCTTTACTATGATGCTTCTAATATTCATACATTGATCTCGGGAATTAGCAGAGTAGAAAGAAAAAGAAAAAAAATCTCCTTACTCAAACATCCTAGCATTCTGATTTGCTCAAACTTACTGAAACACAATTATCTAAGTATTTGTTAAAACAAATTTATGAGAGACACCAAGGGTTTGGTGTCACATGGACATTGTCTTGATATTTTAGGGGGATTATGTTAGAAACCCAGAACTAAGATGTTTTTGGGAAGACAAACAAAACTGGATGAAACTAGATTTCACACATGCACGACAAGGAGTTACCTGACAAGGCTGTGACCTAAAATGGAAGTTCAAAAAAGGGAACTGGACTTAAACCAGAGGCCAGAGCGAGGTCTGAATATGCCAATATCCTACAATGAGTCTTGTCACCATTTCCCAGATTCCCTTGCACCAGAGCCTATTTCAAAGTTGTGTGTGTACACAAAGGAAGGAGAGTTTTGGTCATCTGAGCAAAGCTATGTAATACCACATCTCTATTTATTCCTGAAAAGCATCCCTCCTGTAAGAAACAACCCTAGAAAAGCTCTGAGCATTTATTGCTTGGAGGGATATACTTGTGTTCCTCCTCGGTCCTGTGTGTTCTCCCCTTACAGGGTTTTCTTATTCTCTAATAAATCTCTACCTTTTCTTTCACATAATTGTCTGTCTTTCTAGCAATTATTTAGATCCAGCATCCAGTACCAATATGTCTTATATTCCCGTGAATACTGCCTAAATTTCCCTCATCATTCCTCATCTACCTTATTGAAATAGCTTAACTGGACTTGCATTTCTTCACTCCACTGAAACTGCTCTTCTCAGATCCTTCCAACACCTTCCACATTGTTAAATCCAGTGATTTCATGTCTTTATATTCATTTACTTGGTGTATAATGCAGTTAACTATTCTCTTCTTCTTCTTTTTTTTTTAAATGGAATGTTTCACGACTTTGCGTGTCACCCTTGTGCAGGGCCACGCTAATCTTCTCCGTATCATTCCAATTTTACTGTATGTGCTGCTGAAGCGAGCACACCCGTTTTCTTCCTGAAATGTTTCCTTTTCTTGGTTTTTGTGATACTGGTCTTTCCACCTTGGTCTCTACTGGTGGTTTCTCTAAATGCTGTAAGTCCTAAACTCTCATGTCTTCACCTATATACTCTTTTACAATGATCTTATTGATTCTCAGGAGCTTAAATTTAAAAAAAAAACCCAGATGACTCCCAAATATTTATCTCTATATATCTGTAGAGGGACTCTGTGGTCAGAAGTTGTGCTGAATTATTATGGTTGTGACAAGAGTCCAGAATGAAGGTTGCATAGTGGAGTACACTCGGGAAGGGGGAAGGGATTTTATAACAATAAAATAATTTTTCTTTTACTTTTCAAAGAAAAGTGAAAACTGTGGGGAGGGGTGGGCAGGGAGAAAAATGCAACAGTGAATGTATGGAAATCCCAAATCTCTGTGAATGTTCATTAAAATTAATTAAAAAAAATGTTGTGCTGCAATCCCAAAGGCATACAGACAAATCCATCAGCTTCCCTGCAGGAGAAGCATGGGAATTTCCTCTTGTCTCATTAACTGCCCCTGAAATTCTGCTGGAGGGTGAGCTATGAGTCAGTTCTGACTCACTGGCCCACAACAACAACATCTGCATATCTTTGTCTACGTCCCTATATATCAGGCCCTAACCTTTCCCAGAGCCACAGACTTGTATGTATGCCCAGCTGCCAATTTGATATGCTACTTAGATATTCAGTGATACCTCACATGTAAATTTTTCAAAGATTTGTTCTTCTCCAATGCAATATTATCCCTCTCTAGTGTCCTCCTTTTCTGTAAATGCATTGTTTGAGTCAAAACTTTCATTTTCTTAGTTTCTTACTTTGAAATTATCTGCAAGATGTGTCCATTCTATCTTCAATACAGAATATGATTTTACTTCTGTTCACCTCTTCTGTTGTTGTGTATCACTGAATAAAAACTGACTCGTAGTTGACCCTCCAGTGGGTTTTCAGGGGCTGTAAATCACAAGGGAGAAGATTGTTTGTCTTCTATGGAGCCGCCTTTGGGTTTACAATGCAGCTTCTTGACACTGGATCACCAGAGATCCCTACTCCATCTCTTCTACTATATTTAATTCAAATAATCATTATCTTTTCTTGAATATGGTATAGTTTCCCAAGTAGTCCATTCCCAATAAATCATATCACTTTTGTTTTATGTTAGAAATTATGAGGATAACACAGAATAGGACAAGGTTCAGATCTACTCTTCATGTCATTCGTACTCAACTCGATGGCACCTAACAACATGATCAGCTTTAGTGCTCCTCAGTTTAAGACCCTTCAAAGGTTTCCTGCCCTTCAGTTACTATATTCTTTCTGCTTCTTGAATTCACAAAGCTTTTACCAACCTCATGGCGTTTTTACTTGCTATCACTCTGCCTGGACCCTTCCTGAGATCTTTGTGTAACTGAATCCTTTTGGGCATTAGCACTCTTGTCAGAGAGGCTTCCTGATTGCCTTTTCTAAAGTAGTATTCACTTCTACTCTATCACTCTGCTTAACTGTCTTCCTAGTCACTTGACTCTCTTGATTATTTTTTTAAATGATCATTTATTTTTATGAATATTTTTATTCTTTTTATTATAAAATATTCATAATATTTATTATGAATATTTTATTTGGTCTAAAATGAATATTTTTATTCTTATACATTGTGTTTCTCTCTTGGTTCTTTAATTTGTTTACTGTGTGCTGTTTCTATCCCTCCTTCTCTCTGAACTATGGTGGGAGCTCCATGATGAAGGGAGAAATTTTACCTGTATAGTTCATCATTGTATTCTTAATGCCTGATACATAATAAGTGCTCAGTAAACATTCCTTGAATTAATGGTCTTTCATTTCTTTTTCTTTTGCATTAACACCAGAATTCTTTTAAAAAAACTTGACTGGGTCATAAAATTTATTGTACTAAAAGCCTTATAAGGTGAATAAAGTCCAGATTCTTTTAGTAAACAGTAAATGCCCATTATGGTGTGGCCTCAGTGCCCTTTGTTGTGTTTTTTTTTCAAGTAAAAGTGGAGAGACTTGGAAAATCAGAAATATGGCAACTCTCAACAAGACTGAAAGGGTTTCTCATTTCGTTCTGTGTAAATCTGCTCCATTCTTCTCTCTCCACTCAGCGTCCTTGGTCCTAAAATAATGGACCCAGATTCTGTGCCTAAAAGGCCTCTTATTTTGCTCCTAGCTAAGAAAATAGACCTTCCAATGTCCTAATTCAGCAAGAAGAGTCTGATTGGCCCAACTATTCTTTTCTGGCAAGGCCACTGTTAGAATTCTTTAACTTATCCTTGTTACAGCAGATGCATGGCCAGTAGGAGCTGTTGTAGATTGTTATACTATTGAACAACACATCCCAATATTCATTATTTCGTGCAGTTCATTCCTCCATCAAGACTGAACTTGGCCACATGACTTGATTTGGCCATGGGGCCTTAGCAATTGTAGTACAAACAAATGCTTGATAAGTATTTACATATTAAGGTTTTGTCCTCTTGGAAGCCAGCCATCATGGTATAAAGAAAACTGAGCTTTACTGCTGAATGAAAATAACATGTGGGGAAAGACTCTGGGAGATGAGAAACCATCTTAGATGGTCCAGTCCTAGTTAAGTTCCCAGCTTCCAGCAGCTGTATTAATTGACCTTAATTACACCACATAGAGCAGATAACTTACTTTGGGTATATTTTCAGGAGGAATTGCTCCTTAGAGTGAGAACATCATGCTGGGAAAGGTAGAGGAGTCAGCGAAAGAGAGGAAGACCTTAAAAGAAATGGGTTGAGAAGCCCATAATGGGCTTGAGCAGGACAGAGATTGTGAGGGTGGTGGGGGACAGGTCTGTTGTTCATAGGATCGCTATGAGTTGTAGTTGACTTGATGGCATCTAGCAACCACAACAACATAAACTATAAAAACTCACTCAAATTACCAAATAACAGGAAAGAATATAGTTACTGTCTTAAGCCTCTGTGTTTTGAAGTGGTTTGTTATATGTCAATGAAACCCAAACTCACCATCAGTTCAACTCATAGCAAAGCTACAGGATGAAGAACTTCC